GGGGCGGCGCGGGCGGGCGCTGCAGTGCGGCTGCGCCCCGCTGCGCGTGCGCCGCGCACCTGCGTAGCCTACCGTGGGTCTCAGAGGCGAACCCAGTGCGGGCATTCGCAGAGTACTCTAACCTGAAAGGACCCGCGCGGTTTTTAGCTAAGAAAAGTCTGGCTGCTCTGCCTTAGCTCTCTCCATTGCGTAAAATGAAGGCCTGGAAGAAACAAAGACCGGGAACAGAGGAAGCGTAATGTACTGCTGAAGATTAGGATAGTGGTAGCGGACGGGTGTCTTTCCCGTGCCCGGGTATACTCAGAGACCTAACTGATCTTGTAGATCATTGGTTTTGAAGACGATGCATCTAAGGTGGTTATCTGGAGAAATTATTTCTCGGGTTTCCTGGTAATTCTGTGATAATACAGGAATGCAAACTGAAAGTTTTACGGATCACTATAGTACATGTTTTGATGTGTGGTTTTGGCTTTGCTGTGAATGTGCTCCGTTATTTAGAATTCCTTGTGATTGGAAAAAAAAAAAAAAAAGCACACTATTTTTATGTCTCAAAATAAATAAAGGGCAGGGCACATAGCTTAGTGCGAAGGCCCTGGGTTCAGCTCCCAATGCCATAAAAACAAAACTTTCCCCACCTCCAAACTTAGTGAGGTTTGTGATCACCTCTGCACCGGGTGTCCGCGGCGGCAGGAACCAGGAGAGACTTGTGAGGATTCAGAGCCCACCTGTCCCCGAAAGTGGGCGGGAGGAAGAACTCCTCTGTCTTCTTAGAGGCCCTGCAGATTCAACTAGCAACAGGCAGATTAACGGGGAAAGTTTTAGTACCTATGTGTAAATGTAAAATGCTACAGCTAGGGTCCCGCTTATTACTACAGTCCCCGGGGTAAACTGTCATAGAAAGGTAAATATTTTGGGGAAACTAAGGGTAAGAGTTATTTAGTAAGGTTTATTATGCAGACTCAAAGTGGTGCTTTCCCCACTGATAAAATCTCTTCTTCCTGAAAACGGAGAAGACATATTTACAAGTGGAACTTTGGTGGCCTTTTACATAGTGAAATGTATGCCTTGTATTTAGATCAGAAGGGCCAAGGCAAACAAGCAAATTGCTTTCAGTTCAAAATAATCCTTAGGCAAAAATAGCATATTTTGGGGGTGGCATGTGCTGATCCCCTTCGGAAGGAAATCCTTGCTGTTGGCCTGCCTGGTGATGGGAGCTGCTTTGGGTGAATTGACTGTCGGATGTTTCTGTTTTTCAGTGTAGTTTGGGAGCACAGGAGGTGGCTGCCTGCGCAGAGCCCAGCTGCGGTGCCCGGCATGGACGGCTATGTGGTCCTGAGAGTGATCGGGGAGGGCTCCTTCGGCAGAGCTCTTTTGGTTCAGCCGAAAAGCAACAATCGGATGTTTGCCATGAAAGAAATAAGGCTTCCCAAGGTTACTGCTAAAGAAAGTAGCTTACATAGAAAGTGAACATGTAATTTATAGGAGAGTAAATCCTTGAGGTTTAATACGGAATTTCTCCTTGAAAAATATGTAATAGTTTATTCATTACTAGTTTCACAAGGGCTTGATATATTTTATGCAGTTCTTAGGATAGTGTCCTCAACAAAGGGTGAGAAACAGTCATTGTGTGCTATTTTATCTCTGTAATAATTTCCAATTTCATATACACAGTATGAACAAAACCATTAACAAAAGCAACTAGGGTACAATAATCATAAAAGAACATAAAAATACAGTGATGAACAAATCTTTGAAATACAAACCTGTAGTTGTCAGGCAACCTACTCATTGGATCAGTTTATAATCTTATTTCCCTGTAGACAATTTATTATAGTTTATCATCATTGTTCTATGGAAGAACCCACGTCAGGAAGATAGCTTAATGTTATTTTGACCAACTTTCTACAAATACATTTTAATAAAGTTCTTAGAGTGCTAGGTTTATTTTCCCCACAGTCTGCTTTATTTCAGACTTGAGAGTGTATCAAACATGTGATTCTGCAGGTCTGGGTATGCCTGTGAGTTTGTGTTTTAACATATTTTTGGTTGCTGCAGTGGTTCCGAGAACCTTTGTGCTATTACCCAGCCTGTGGCAGTTTCTTTTCTTCTTGTTTTTGCAGTGCTGGGGATGGAACCCAGGGTCTTGCACATGCTAGGCCAGCGCTCTACCAGTCCCTATCCAGTTTCTTGATTATAAAAGTGAGACATTCAAGGGGCATGTGGCTGGAACGCTGCCCCAGGCTGGAGTCAGCCTGGCAGCCAAGTGCAACACCAAGTCAACCAAGAACTTGCTACACATGAAGTTCATGCAAAGAGGACTGGCCTCAGAAACCAAGAAACACCTAGAGAGGAGGCAGAGAAGATCATTAGCAAAGAGCACTGGTACTTTGATTTGCCGATGGTTAAAGAGAAAGTATTTCATAATATAAGAGCAGAGTTTCTTTTCTTTTCTGTTTTTTTTTTTTGTTTGTTTGTTTGTTTTGTGGTACCAGGAGTCAAACTCAGGGCCTTGCACCTGCCAGGCAGGAGCTATGCCACTGAGCTACATCTCTGGCCCAGACTTTCTTAGTTGTGAGGATCTTACTATGGAAGAATGTCATTCAGAGGATTTAATCCTGAAGTTAAGGAATTAATGCTCAAGATGAACACTAAGAACAAAGCAGAGGAGGAAGGGCAAGATGAAACAGTAGAGCTTGATGTGTCAGATGGACAAATGACTAGAAGATAGGAGACCTTGGTGAGGAGAGTTGGAAAAAAGTCTGCCAAGAAGAGAGACTGTGCTAATTATGAAGACGATGAATATGGAAACAAAACCAATTAAAACAGAAAAGATATTCTTAAAGCCCCAGGATTAAAATGGATACCTTCAAATATGGCTCAAGGATGAATGTGAAAGCAGCGTATTTTGGAACTCATCCTGATGATGTCTGTGGAGTTGCTAATGTATAATTTTGGAAACATGCTGTTTGTGAAATGGATGTGTGGTAGATGTTATACATCCTTTTCCTAATGGCATTCATCAAGACTATAATTCCAGCCCTTGACTTTCAGGCGAGGTTGCTTACTAAAGATTTTTTAGACCTCACATTTTAAAAAAATATATAGTTCTCTAGCCAGGCATAGTGATGCTTGCCTGTAATCCCAGCAATCAGGAGGCTGAGGCAGGAGGATCACCATGAGTTCGAGGCCAGCCTGGGCTACATGAGTGAATTCAAGGCCAGTCTGCGCTGCATAGTGAGACCCTGCCTCAAAAAAAAAACAACAAAAAAAGAACAAACATACTTCTACCATGAAAGATTTGTATACTACCAGTTCATTGTCTGTTTAGGGTAGTATGTTTTGTTGTTTGAGGCATTTAATTAAAAAAAGTTCTGCAATAAACGTCTGTTTTCACATAAAGAAAAAAGAGTAAGACATTGATTTTTCTCCTCATAGAGTAAATTAGGGATAGTTTTGGAAACATATTTAACCTGTTGTCATTGTCCATCCTTGATGTGATAATACACCAGCATATTTTAAAAATCTGGGCCCCAGGGTGGATAAAGTGATTTTGACCATTAGAACATGAAACCCTGGCTTTTCTGTTAGGACATATTATTTTTGGCGGTACCCTGGCTGTCCAAGTCTGGTGATGTTTGCACAGATATGCTACCTAGTTTGCGTTCTTTATGTGAGAGGAATGAGAAAAGAGTATAATACAAGTGGATCACCTCAAGCATGTAAAACATGGCTATAGTTGAAAAATTATGTATTTTCTTTGGGGGCTTGATAAACTTGAGGAAAAGTAGTTTTATAAAACTGAATGTAGCTCTGGTCCTATTAACAATATGTAATATTACAGTAAAGCTATTTTAAAACTCAGTATGAAATTTATGCTTATTTAAAATCTTTTCCTAGTCTTTCTCTGATACACAGAATTCTAGGAGGGAGGCTGTCCTATTAGCCAAAATGAAACACCCCAATATTGTTGCCTTTAAGGAATCATTTGAAGGTAAATATGAATTTCTCCAAATACGTACATTTTCTAAATTTGGTCTGTAGCAACTGTGACTTTCCTAAGGAGTCCTGTTTTTATTTTAGTTGAAGGACATCTGTATATTGTGATGGAATATTGTGATGAAGGGGATCTAATGCAGAAGATTAAACAACAAAAAGGAAAGTTATTTCCTGAACATACGGTAAGAGAACTGACTTACATAGTTTCCCTCAAAGTTTAGAAGCAACTTTTCTCATAGACTTTGTATAAATTAAAATCATTAATATCTATGATTACGTGGTCCACTAGTTAGAAACAGCTGGTTTCTGGACCATTGTTACTGCTTAGTGTCCTCAGGATGGCTGCCTGAAAGACTTAGGAAGTAAAGTCAAGCCGGCCGCAGTGGCACATGCCTGTAATCCTAGCACTGGGGAGGTGATCAGTGCCTCAGCTATGTAGTTCAAGGCCAGCCTGAACCATGTAGTGAGACCCTGGCTCAAAAAAACAAAAACAAACAAAAAGAAGTAAAGTCCATTCAAGTTATAAAATATGAAGGGGTCAAACTTACATGCTTAGAAGAATTTCAGCCAGGTATGGTAGCACACACCTGTAATCCCAGCACTTGGGAGGCTGAGGCAGGAGGACTGCCACAAGTTTGAGGCCAGCCTGGGTGGGCTACAGAATGAGTTCAAAGCCAGCCTGGAGGACATAGTGAGACACTGTCTCAAAAAAAAAAAAAAAATTCCAAATTACATTGCTTAGTCCTTATATTGGATATTTAAAATCTTGATTTTTTTACCGTTCTGAAATCTTAGAAGGCACAATAGATTTCATTTTGTACTCCTAGATCGTGAGAAGGCCTCCCATTTCTGTTTCTTGATAGTAGCTACTCACAGTCTTCTTCCTCCTAAAGCTCAACATATTTCCGTAAATCCAAGACTTGCTGCCACTTTAATGGGAAACTGCATGTGCAGGGATAGAAAGGCGTACCCGCTTTCCTCACCGGCAGGACTGACATTCCTACCACACACAAGAAAGAAGGAGAACAAGAGAAAAACATGTCACATTTACTCGTAGTTTTCCATGACATGAGAGCCTTTAGAAATGACGGCCCAGAGACCCAGGGAAAACTATTGTATGCTTAGATTCAACAAAGCCTGGACAGCTGTGTAGAAATGTGGATGAAGAAAGTGAAACCTGATGGTAACAGGATGATTGGTGAAAACTAGCAAGTCCTGTGTGCTAGGACTTTTCTTGGGCTTTCGCTGTGGCCTTCCTCCCTTCCCGGTATAGGGCAAGAGCTGTTCTAGAATAAGAATCTTAAGATTACTTCCACACAGGATAGGTGGGGGAATTCCTTTATGGCCAACTTTTGCAGAAAGGTGGGGTAAAGTGACAGTAAGATTTTCAGTTTTCCCCGTGGTTGGTTTTAGGGAAGAAGGGTTCTAGTTTCTGTGACCACCTTGGGTGAGAGGCATTCTGGTTTTTGTGGCCTGCCTGAGGGGACAGAGGGGAACAGGACAAAGGTCAGAAACATCTTGTTTCCTGCCCCTTTCCTTGAGTTCCAAATATCTAGCGTGCGAGGGCCTGGTTTTTTGTGTGTGATAGGACTGCCAGTCCTGACGGTGAGGAAAGCACGCACGCCCTCCTGTCCCTGCACATGCAGTTTCCCATGAAAGCGGCAGCAAGTCTTGGATTTAAGGAAATACATTGAGCTTTAGAAGGAAGAAGACTGTGAGTAGCTACTATCAAGAAACAGAAATGGGAGGCCTCCTTCTCACGATCTAGGAGTACAAAATAAAATCTATTGTGCCTTCTAAAATTTCATACTCCATACTTTGGAGTATCATATTCTGAGTCCCAACACGTAGTAAATATCTTTATAATGAATTGGCCAAGGAAAATCTTTAAATAAGTGTCTTCAGTGGGGGTTACTTTGATTTAGGTCATAACATGTTTTGAAAGTATATAAGTATTTTTCATTTAGAAGTTGTATCTTCTTGTTTTGATTTTTAGACAGTCTCACTGTGTAATTAAGGCAGACCTTGAACTCACTGTGTAGCCCAGGCAGTGATCCTCCTGGCTCAGCCTGTGTCACTATGCCAGGATCTAAAAATTGTACTGTTAGAAGGATAAATTCCAAGAGTGGGGAATGTAGCTCAGGGGTAGAAAGCCTAGCGTGCATAAGGACCTAGGATAGATCCCTAATACCAAAAAGGAAAGAAAATACCTCAGAGCATCGTTGACAACACAGTGAAATCCTTTGATGTCATCATGAATATTCTGAAAAAATAAATGAAATTCAATGTAATGATTACACTAGAAAGGCTGTTACATATTTCTTAATGGTGAACTACTTTTATGTATGCATTTAAGGTATTTGATTGAACACAATAAAAATATACAAGAGGTTTTATTAAAATAGCTATTTACTTGGGGTTTTTTTTTGTTCGTAAATCGAACTCAGGACCTTGCGCTTGCTAGGCAGATGCTTGTGCCACTGAGCTATATCCCCAGCCCTGTTTTTGTTTTCTTGAGATAGGGTTTCACCAGGCTGGTCTTGAACTCACTATGTAGCCCAGGCTGGCCTCGAACTCACGGCAGTCCTCCTGCCTCAGCCTCCTGAGTGCTGGGATTATAGACATGCACCTCTACAACTGGCTCGAGCTATTTGGATCATACATAAAATGATGAAACATGGAAACCATAGCTTTTCTGATAGAATCTTAGTTGAACTGTGTAATTTTCATGAGTTTTGTATTCACATGTAAAACCCTAGCAGCTAAGGCCTAAAGACGAGTCTTTGGAATTTTGGCTTGACATGTATAAGTTACTGCATTTGTGCAGATGTTGTGTGCTTTTCTTCTTATAGATACTTAATTGGTTTACACAAATGTGCCTTGGGGTAAATCATATTCACAAGAAACGTGTGCTACATAGAGACATCAAGTCCAAGGTGAGTGGAATATGTTTTGGGGCTTGGAAAAAAAGAAATTAATGGTGTGTGTGGTGTGTGTGTGTGTGTGTGTGGTGGTACTGGGAATGAACACAGGGTTGAGCTACACTAAGTGACATACATGTGCAGCCATTTTTATTTTTTTAATTTTGAGACCAGATCTTGCTAAGTTCCCCCCAGGCTGGCCTTGAACTTGGAATTTTCCTGCCTCAGCCTCCCTCTGTACTAGAATTACAGGCATGCCACTGCACTTGGTTTCATTATCTTTTTTCTGTTACTCATTTCCTTTAGGGATATTTCTATAGTGTAGAGTTGTTTGCTAGCTAAATATATTTGTTTATTTGTATTTTTAAATTAAAAAATTTCCCGATCATTGCTAAGATAAAAATGATAAATAAAATTTACATATATTTATAGTGTATATGTTTTGATATATTCACACATTGTGATTAAGCGGAGTTAATCTATCGCTAACCTCATGCACTTTCTTGTGATTAGAACATTTAAGATCCACTTGCAGAGCTGGGGGTGTAGCTCAGTAGTACAGTGCTTGCCTAGCATGTGTGAGGGTCTGGGCTTGATCCCGGCACTACAAAAATAGAATAAAAAATAGATCTACTCTCTAAGTAGCTCTCAAGAATACCGTACATTTTGAAAAAATACCATACAGTAACCATAGTCACCACATCGTACAGTAGATTTTGAGAGCTTATTTGTGCTGAAACTTTATACGCTTTTACCTAATATTTATACTAATCAGATTAAGTAGTGCCTGTGAAAAAGTCATCGAAAGCTCTTTTGTGATGTATGTTCACCAGTGTCCCGTCCTGTTAAAGGTGCCAGCAGGCTGCCTCCCTTCGTTCTCAGATGGAAAATGGTCAGTACCTGGGCTCGCCACTGGGTGGCACCCCGACCCAGGGGCCTAGTCAGTTGGTCTGCTCTGTAATGCCTCTGGAAATTTGTGTTAGATTTCAAAGCAGTTATCCTGAATCCCCAAGCGGGGGAATATGTAGCTGTCAGGAGGGGCTCTGCTGTTTTGCAGTCCGCTCAGAGACTGAGTTTTCAGCATCTCTACCCTTAATCTCCATCATCTGCAAGTTTGGAAACAGCTTCCGTGGAAACGGCTGCCTTGTGTTTGAATGATGGAAGACGGAATCTGAGTTCTTCTTTTTCAATACAGAATGTCTTCCTCACCCAGAACGGAAAAGTGAAACTGGGAGATTTTGGATCTGCCCGTCTTCTCGCCAAGTATGTCTCTATTCTCTTGCAGTAACCGTAGTCAGAATATCCATTTTCAGGAATACCCTGTAATCCTCCTTTGCCTTTTTTATGGTTTTAGTCCCATGGCATTCGCTTGTACGTATGTGGGAACACCTTATTACGTGCCCCCAGAGATTTGGGAGAACCTGCCTTATAACAATAAAAGGTAAGTGATGTCTTTATTTGGTGAGAGGGTGACCGTTTGGTGACAGGTCTGGCGGCCTGCAAATGGTGCTGGTGCCAGTTTAAAGCCGGTGCATGAGCATGGTGGTTTACTTAGGCTGGGGCTGCAGCTCAGTGGTAGAGCACTTGCGGAGCATGTATAAGGCTTTGATTCCTAATGCCACAAATAATGAATTAATGTAAGCCAATGAAATTCTTAAAACAAAAATATATTTGAAAGCAATGTGGGAATCTATATTCTCAGGCTTTTAGAAGAAAGTCAGTTATCCAGCTGTGTTAGAACTGAGAGGAACTAGTTATAAATGTTAGAAGAAAGACTAGTCATTTCTGCGAGTCTAATGAATTGTATCACCGATTCCCAAACTTTGCTGTTCTGGCTTTTAAAAATCCCAAAGCGCAGGCCTCATCCATACCAATTAAATCGCAATTTCGGGAGGTGGGAGCAGGTGTAGTTTTTTAGTGTGTACCATATTTGGGGGTTGACATTTACAGGGCTGGGTAACAAGTCCTCGGTTGCCAGCTCCGTCAGTTGATAACATGTGAAGACTTTTCGGTATGAAACATTTTTCTACCTATAGATTGTATGACTCCGTGTGGTAATAGGTGAGCAGGGAGGGTTGGCAGTAGGTGTATAAGAAAGGAAATGGAAGTCATCCACTCTTCGCTGCTACTGTGTTCAAATAACATTTTTCTGTCGATTCACTTTTTGCCCATTGGACCAGTTGATTGATATATATATTTGTGTGTGTGTGTATATATACATATATTTTTTTAAATTTTTTTTTAAATTTTTTGATGTATCTTTTTAGACAGGGTCTTGCTCTGTAATTCAAGCTGGCCTTGAACTCAGTACATAGCCCAGGCTGGCCTCAAACTTGTGGTGATCCTCCTGCCTCAGCCTCCCAAGTGCTGGGATTACAGGCATGCACCACTACGCCTGGCTTCCAGTTGATATATTCTATATGCACATTGTACCCTTTTTTCCCACTTTATATTATATCATATTCATTTCCCCACATAGTTATGCTCTTCATAAGTATTTCTCATGGCTATATGTGTTTTACTCTATGGCTCTTCCAGAATTTACTTAACCATTTCTCTGCTGCTGGCCTTATATTTTCACTTTTCAATATCATAAGTGGTGTTGTGAATAACATACACTTTGGGCTGGGGATATAGCTCAGTGGCATAAGCACCTGCCTTGAAAGTGCAAGGTCCTGAGTTTGATTCCAGGTACAAAAAAAAAAAAAAAAAAATACAGTAACATAGCTTTTGTGCATAAATATCTTTTTTCTTTTTGGTATTGCATTCATGGCATTTCCTAACAGTAGGAACACTTAAGGACTCGTTATTTTGTGCTGAGTTGCTTCTGGAAAAGGGTAGGACTATCCATATGAAGTAGGTTTCTTTTTTTTGTTTTGTTTTGTTTTTTTGGGTTTTTCTCTGGTACTGGGAACCGAACTCACGGCCTTGCACTTGCCAGGCAGGTGCTTTTGCCGCTGAGCTAAGTCCCCAGCCCTGAAGTAGGTTTCTTTAAGAGAACTAGGGAGCCGGGTGTACTCAGAGGTAGAGGACTTGCCTAGCATGTGTGAGGCCCTGGGTTCATTCCCCAGTGCTGCAGAAAAGGAAAGAGTCGAACTGACTAACTAGGGTCAAAGTGACTGTAAAAGGTCTTACTGAAACAACTGGGGAAATATTAGATGCTCTTCTTGAAGTAAGGTGGGATTGCTTGGATGCGAAAACGACATCGTGTGTGGGGAAATGTGTGCATTCTTGCAGTGACATGTTTAGGAGAGAAGTGTCTGGTATTTGCAGCCTTTCAGATGAGGCTCAGGGTATTAGAGAAGAGGAAACCAGCACAGAAGCACAGCCAGTGTCTGAAGGACTGGGAGCTTAGGTAAGAGCACACGGACATTGGCAACTGTTCTGTACATTCGAAATTCAAAAAAATTAAAAGTTGAGGGGAAACTGGTAATTAAAAAAAATTAGTTGCAGAGAGTATCGTTGAGAAAAAGTCCGAGATGACAACTCGGCAGGAGCGGTGGAGGGAACCAGAGGTGCCTAGCGTGGAGAAGCAGGGTTTGGGGCAGCTGTACAACTGAGCTGGGACAGCTGTTTTGTGGAAGGTGTAGTCTTGTCCTCCAGCCCAGGGATAGAGGGCGGCCGAGCAGAGGGCCGGCTGGGGAGGTAGAAAACTGCCTGGCCTGAGGAGCTTGCAAAAAAAAAACGGTGCTCTGTGCACCTGCTCCCTCCCCCGCAAGCTCTCTGATTGCCTCCGAAGTGCTCTTCCGGCTGCAAGCATTTGAGTCCGAATGTTTGTGCTCTTGCTACTGAATTCCCAGATGCTACTGATGTGACCCAAATGACCTGGATTTGGAGGGCTGGGTGTGGGGAACGGAGAGTTTGTGACTATTACTCTTAGTACCTAAGTGTGAGGACAAAATCACTGTGTGTTTTAATACCTAGGAATTGCTTGTGAAAATTATTCTCACTGGTGGGATCATGTTTAGTTTTTTGTGATGAGAGAAATGCATGTATTTCCGCAGCGCTCCCAACCTACCTGTGGTTTTATGTTTACAGTGACATCTGGTCCTTGGGCTGCATTCTGTATGAACTCTGTACCCTGAGGCACCCGGTGAGTACGGTGGGTGAAACAGAGAGGGCAGCTTGTGGCCCTGTCTGCCTGAGTCCTCAGTAATGCACCAAATTCCAAGCGGCAGTTTGTTTCCCTAGGATGCATTGTTCTGAAAAGCTTTCTTCGGTTGCTATTGTTATGGTCTTTGCCTTGAGCCACTTTTGTACTATATGCCAATAGGCAGTATCTACTGGGAACTTTCTGTAGCGCTGTGTGTAGTTTTCTCCTTCTTTTTGCTATTTTGTAAAAAAAAATTGGTAAAATATATATGCCATAAAATTTGCCATAATTTGCCACGCCATAATTTGGTGAATTAATTACATTCACAATAACGTGCACTCGCACTGCTCTCTACGAAACTCTCTATAGAAACTGTGTCTGTTAGGCCATTTCTCCCTAACCCTCTCTCCCCCAGCTGCTGCTGTGCTCTAATCTGTTGTCTATCTCTGTGAGTTTACATAGTGTCTGTATTTCCTATCAGTGGATCCTGTAACACTTGTCCTTTTGTGTCTGGTATAGTTTACTTAACATGAAGTTTTCCAGGTTCATTCATTTGGTGGCATGTGTCATAATTCTGTTCATTTTTCTGGCTAAATAATATTCCATTGTGAGTTTATGCCATGTTTTATCTGTTCCTCTGTCAGCGGACACTTGGATTGTTAATACCTCTTTGTTGTCACGAATAATGCTGGTGTGAATATGTATGAACAAATATCTGTTAAAGTTTCTGAGTGTAATATTTGAGTAATTGGATATTTAGTCTTTTCAGGAGCCACCAAACTGTCTTCCAGAATGGCTACACCACCTTTATACTCATCTTTCTGCACTTCCTGACAAAATAGGAGAAAACACTTTAATACCCTGCCTTAAGATTGTATTTTTTCTAGGTATTTTCAGAAATAATGTGACAAAATAAGGTTACAGGACTTGTCCCGCCTGTGCAGCAGTGTATTACACAGAACCACAGTGTAGAGCTGATCTCCACGAGGTCTTAACTTTGCATACAGATAAACGGATTGCAGGGTCTGCCAGGGTCTGTTTTTACTGGCGGGCCTGAGAGTACCGAGAGCTGGTTGAAAAATCCTTCCGCACCACCGGCTGAGAGTGGCTCAGACCGAAGGCAGGCACTGCCCGTGACGGGTTGTCTTCCTTGAGTATAAGTGGTTTAGAACGCTGGCCACGCAACATTCAATCTTTCAAATGCTGATGCCTAGGCCACTTCAGAATAATTGAGTTAAAATCTCTGAAGATGTCTTGGGCATTGGTGTTATTAAAATAGGGAGACTGTTGGGAAGTGCAAGTTGGGATCCACTGTTGTATACAAATAAAGTTATTTTTAGAATTCTAGTATCTAGGGACTGGTGATATGCGTCAGTGGTGGGGCATGCACCCTACATGCATGGAGCCCTGGGTTGAATCCCGAGTGTCCCCCACACACACACAATTATATACATGAAGCTTGAAGCAGGTATGGTGGCATATTCCTATAATCCCAGCTACTTGGGAGGCCAAGGCAGGAGGATCTCAAGTTGGAGGCCAGCCTGCACAGTATAGTGAGTCCTTGACTGAAAATAAAATAGAGACGGTTGACACGTACCTGAGTGGTTAGAACACTTGGCCTTGCATTCATGAGGGCCTGGGTTCAGTCTCCAGTACCACTCACAAAAAGTGTAAGTCTGGCTGCTTGTTCTTCTGTTAGGTTTCGGGGGAGAGGTAAGGCACGTATATTATACATATGATAAGCCTGTTAGTGGCTTTGACATTTTAGATAGCCATGTGTCTCTGTTACTTTGATTTTCAAATATACTAAAGGTGTATATCTGGAAAATCATAGATTATGATGAATGAAGTCTCTGAAGCAAGCATTGACGGGAAGAACTTCTCAAGATGGGGAAGTTTTTGCTCTTCTTCATGTTTATCCTTCTGCTGAACCCCTGGAAGAGTCCAGATGTGTGTGTGTGTGTATGTGTGTGTGTGTGTGTGTGTGTGTGTGCATGCATGGGGTGCTAGAATTAGACCCAGGGCCTCTCATGTGAGAGGGGAGTGCTTTGCCACTGAGTTACATCCCT